TTTTTACATATATAAAACGGTTAGTTTTTATTGGAAAGTAGTTAATGTAGGTGAAGAGTGAAGATCTATGTCTGAAGTGCTATTGCAGCTTTTCACTGAACATATTAACTTTTTATTTGATTTAACTTTAGAAGAAAACTTGGTCGACTCCATCATCAAAAAAAAATTTACTTTTTTAACGTGTTTTATTATTTTAATAAACAATTTTACGATTTATGTATACCATTCCCTCGGATATTTATCCCTCATTTTAGTTACGAGTTTTGCTACCAGGTGGTGTATGCCCATTTGACGGATCCCAATACTACTGAGTCTTTTATTTAGAGCTAGTAATTCCATAAAAGTGTATAACTGTTAGCTACTATATATTATATAATTTACAGAGTTAATATCAAATTTAATATTCGAATTTGCATTTATAGCCCCTTGTGCAACAGTTATTTCCTTTCCTAAGGCAGTCATTTGGATAGGTCGAAAGTGAACCTGTGCGTGTAGTATACGTAAGCTTGCACCGTCATGCATTTGAATCGGGTGTTGATTTTAATCTGCTTGAAGAACTTACCAACCATTTAGATATTTTACGTAGGAATTTTATATGCGTAAACTGATACGTTGACTTTCAATTAGCAAGCTCACTCACGTCCGTGTGCACATATTGTCGTGTGTGAAGATGTAGGACACGGCAAGTGTGTGCATCTCGTATTTTTAGTAAATGGACATAAATATTGCGGCGTCTGCAGATAAGTTGTTTTGTATGTAACGCGTTGTGCAAAAACGCCCAACGCAACAAAAACTCATGATATTTGTGCTGCAGATGTCAGAACGATCACGTTTCTGTCTAAGAATCACATGCGGATCTTTCGTAATGGTTAGTTTTTGTTGTCACCCTTCGTATATTGCACTTGCGAGTGTCATATTGGAACAAGAATTTTGAAATTATCTTAATGATTTGTAAAAGTATAAAACATCGTCTTTCATTAGATGGCGACTGTTTCTTCGAGAGTTCAGAAAAGTACCTATCGATAATTTTATAGAAGCAAGTTCTTCCCCCCCCCCCCATCAGTCACTGTGAGCTCGAAACTGTTAGCACCATTGCTCCGAGTAGTCGAAATTCACTTTTATGAACAATTTGTTTAATCACTTTCTTTGTGTTAAAAATTATTTGAAAAATTAAATTTAAAGGAATTGTTTGTAAATAGGTATGCAACACATCGTACATTTCAGCATAAGAAATTGCTGATACTAATTACGTAATACTACTTAATATTAAATATTTGCATGGAGTATCGTAGCGTCAATATTAATTAAATAAATGTGTTCTGTTAACTGCCAGAGAACAAAATAACAAGTACATAACATAAATAGAAATCAATAAGAAATAGGCGAAATAGGTTGGTTAGACATATTAGATGAAGAAACAGGAGTTAAGAGGTAGACCTAGATTAAATTGGGATGATCCAGTTTTAGGGAAATGCGAAAATTAGGTAAGGATAGGAAATAGTGGAGGTGCGTGTCCAACCAGTCTTAGGACTGACGACCTTGTGATGACGAAGGTGTTTTTCTCGATTTCCACTTACTGTACCGTGCATTTTTCTGTTACCCACCTTTCTAACGCAAAGATACAAATATATTGTGCAGGTGAATTTGTTATTAGCTTAATTTTGAAGTAAATAATTCGCTTACAATCAAAGCAATCATTTGCCTCTACTTTTCTGATATTTAAACTTATGTGAAATTTATTTCTTCTCTCCGTTTTGATATGCTTCACAAAAAGTGCACTATTCAAAGTTTAAACCTTAGCCATGCGTTATCGCCAACAATAAATCAGAAATAAAGGATCAATAAACATATTTCTTGTTTTATATTAAGAAGAAAATATTTTTAGCCGTATCTGCTTTCTGTATTTTGAGTACTTTACGGATTTGTGCTCCGTACACCGAAACGAGAAAGCAATTTCCGATCGGTTTGGGTTATTTCTTACTATCATTTCGAACAGTTTAACGGTTTCGTTCCCATATTTCTCTACTTTAAGTCGTTCCAGTTAATCCTCCCAGTTCGCCTTGTCGTTGCAAGTAGGCATGGAGGGACGATAAAGAGGGGATCAGCTTAATGCCGTGGCATTTCGCGGACGGAAGTGCACGAAGATTTAGCCGCGAACTAAAAGCTTCACATGCAAATTATCTGGAAAATGCCCGCTCCACTTGCGACCATTTTAAGATGGAACTACGACAAGATAGAGAGACTTTCTGTCGTCTCAACTTTTACTAACTACCCCTTACATCTGAATAGCGGGCGCAAGTAACTAGGAAAGTATTTAAAGGAGTCGTAAGTTACATGCTTTTTTTACTTTACGTATACCGAGAAGAAACCTGAAGTGAATTGTGCACAAACTTCGCGAATACGAAACAATTTAAAGTTCTATAAAGTGAAGACGATGAGCGAAGTATAAAGTATACCCATTGACTTCCTGCATACACTATACCCAAGTGTAATGTTGATCTGAAAATACGAAGATTGCTAACCATTTTTCAACACAAGAAAATTACAATCCATTTTTCGATTTTTGAAAATAAATCGAAACGATCAATAAATAATAAACCAAGAGAGATTTTCTCTTTGTGCAGATGCAACAATAAAATAATCTTTGGCGAAGTTAATTCAATCCACAATATAATAAACACCTAAATGATGCAATACGAGAAAGTATTGCATATTTTACTACCAATGGTAAAAATCTGTACGTTTAACTTACTTGTTGCATTTTTTCGAAGTCTAAGCAAGGCCTCTGAATGTGGGTGTGTCTCGTATGCCGTGACCGTTTCCTGGGGGATACCTCATAGTGAAGTAATTTCGAAGGAGGACTAAGGGACCTAATTATGTGATTCGGAGTTTTTCCGCCAGGTCTCACAGCCTCCAGAGGTGGTGACGTTCGAAACTGCACGGGAGTAGCCAATAAATGGTGTACTTCGTCATCTGAAGAACCTTTAAAAACAACTTCTGTAACATACAAATACAGGCGTTCCAATTTAAAAGAACAATAATTTTAGTTAAGGAATCTTCATTAGATTATAACTACTAAATCAATGAAATAAATTTTCATTATCGATAAGTAATTACTTAATTATGGTGTAATATATACGACTTGATGTAACACTTCTACTTATGAAAGAAACATTAATGGATGTGATGCCTCGAGGAAATCATATAACTTGTTACAAAACTCGTTTATTACCGTATTGGAAAATTATTGCAGTACAAAAACTGGATTCTACTTTATTATACTTTGCATTTCTAAACCGTCTTTTTGATAAACTCTCAAGTCGCTTGAACAAAATTAGTTCTTTCTTTATTGCTTATTCAACTATTTTGCAAAATTCCGTGTAAGTTTGTGTACGTCTTACAACAATAACTGAAAAGAAGTTGCATTGCCCAAACAACGAAAAGCTGACGGAACTATCATTTTCCTGACACACCAACGTTTGCTTTCAACTTGGAGCGTTTCCATAAATTATTTTACTTGGGGACAATACAAATTAATGTTTAGACACTATAATATGTTCAAACGCCTGCACAATACGGAATCAGTTTCGGTGATTTATTTACGCCAGGTTTACGACTTGACAAACATGTCATTTTTCAGAGAAATTATGGAAAGAATATATCACAGTCGAAATTGAAAAATAACGCTTTGAAATTTATTGAGTGAAAAACTTGCTATTTTAGCAGTAAACAAGGAATTCACTAATCACAATCACCTATCTAGAAATTCTAGAGTTTAGGTACATTAGAAAGCAAATGACCAGTGGATTTATAATTTTCACTTTCTCATAACGATAATGTTTGTTTAGAGTAAAGGCGAGACTATACTTAAGGATTAAAGAATATTTCTCTACAAAGGTGGTAAAAGCTCTACAAGAAGATATCTAACATCTAATGAGCAACGATATTAGAAATAGGAAGAAAATTCCTTTCACGTGGAATACTGCATTTTTGAAGCATCAAACTTGGAAAAGAGACAGCGTAGTTCATAAACAAAGTAAAATTCATCGTTTTATATAAGGAAAAGATGCACTTTATTTAAAAAGTCACGCAATCAGGAAATTTTCAAACCGTTTTAAAGCGGCACTTACCGGAATGCTCTAGATGGACGGCATCGTCACCGAACTTGTTACCTCCATAGAGTGAACAAGGTGATGCGGACGAACTGATGTTGCCGTAATGGGACATATTTTCTTCATTTTCAGGACTGTAACGGGTACTACAGTCAAAGATACCGGTGACTGCAGAGGTTTCGACAGTATTATCACCCCTTTGAGACCACTTCCGTTTTTCCGGCAAACACACAGACGTGGCTCGTTGCGGCTGCTGTCCTTGCGGATGATTGTGGTTAAGGTGATGATGGTGGTGGTGAAACGTTCGTTCTGACGAGCGTGCCTCTTTAGAATTATTAATCACCTCCAGTTCTTCTTCTGAGGAGTGCGGATCGTGTTCCCGGTCAGGAGCGGGACTCTCCATCGAGCAACCTGTATCTGCTGGAGACACGTTATTGCATATTCTTTCAGACATTTCTGTAACAAAGTTTCGAAATCAATTACTATTTCAAAAAAATGGTACAGAAATCAGAAGTCCTCATCAAAAAAAGTCGCACATGGGTAATACTGCAAAAAAAAAAATAGAACTACAGAATATTTACGAGACACTTTAATTAAAGCTTAAAAACAACCTCTAATGAACCTAAAAACGAAAATTTTGTATGACTATGAAACTTACTTTTCTATCCTAACTAATACAAATGAGAATATGAGTTTGTCTGTGGGCTTTTCACGCCTTAACTATTCAACCGATCATCATAAAATTTTGTACACATATTGCCAGGAGTACAGAAAAGCGCATACGGTACTTTTTATCCAGAAAAGATATTGTTCCCGAGTGATAGGAAAAAATTAACTTAACTACTCTAATCGCTATTCATCATGAAATTTTGTAAATACATTGTCGGGGATACAGAAAAACACATAAGATACCTTTTATCCACAGGAAAAAATGCTGTTCCTGAGGGATAGAAAAAATTAGTTTTATGTGGTCTTTTGTCTATTTAGGGTATCAACGCGAGCGAAGCTGACGGGGGTAAAATCTAGTAAGAATATACAAATTAATTTCTAGGTAGCTGTACATTTTATTCGCGGGGTATACGTTCCATAAATATGCCGCAGATATGGAACGGGAATTAGTATGGAATCTTAAGGGATACATTCTGAAGTTCCAAACCAATATATATCAAAATAAGATCAATTTATTGAGAAATTTGCAATTAAAATTAATCGTTATAATCAGCATTAAGCAAGAGTTTCAAACATTTTATTTTTTTTCCTGTTCTGAATTTTGAAATTAGTCCACTCGGTTACGTCTTTCATAAAAGTCACCTCGGCACTAACCAATAGCACCCAAAAGATGGTGATAGGTTGAAAAACAACACCGAATCCTTTTCTACTCAATTAGATTTTTTATAATAGCTTCGGCACGTACTAACTGTACATACTCAATAGATTCCGATACATTAAGGGGATTCAGTAGTACACGTGCCGTAAAGTAAAAACATACTTATCGGTTCTAGACATCATAAGTTTCATATTTGGAACAGAGGTTTGAAATTTCGTAGTAAGATAGATAAAGCTTTGTTCTAAAGCTTGTCGAAGGCCATTTTTAATTTTTTTAATTTCTATTAAAAATACGTGTCCTACAAGAAGCATCAACTTTAAACACTTGTAAAAGCTTTTAGTGACCATATTATTGAATACCAAAAACGTACCGAGTTAGTGTGAACCTTTGTCTGTTACCATACAAAAAATTAGATATTTATCTCGCAACATTAAATCACAATGTTTAGATTAGAAACCCATGTTTTTGGAAAAATTCACATTAGACACGAGCGGTCTATTGCGGTCAATCCTCTTAATAAACGACACCGAATCCTTTTCTGTTTAGCGATTGCAACCGCGAATAATGAAATTTTTAACCGCGAGTACAGGAACTGGGTTGCAATTTTTTCACCCGCGAATAAGGAAACCGTGAATAAGGAACTTTTACTGTAGTCGGGAAATAGCATCTTTCGTTTATCGTCAGTAATATCCTTGTATGTGTATAAAATTGGATACGACAAATAGAAAACTTTCCATTACTTGTTATGAAAAGTAAATAGCAAGAATATGGGTAACAAGTCATACTGATAATCCGTCGCCATTACGTCTTATTTACACGGAATGTTAACTTATTGGGGGTCATCGATGTGGTTAATAATAACATACTTTACAATAATAAAATACAACGTTAATGTGAAAGTTACAGCCATTTCAATAAAAGAAAAAGTGTGCTAATGTTACAAAACAAAAATGGAACAAAGGGCAAATATAAAATTTTGTCTTAAACTTGAAAAAAATTCGCTGAGACATACGAAATGATGAAAAAGGTTTATGGTGGTGATTATATGAGTCGTACTCAAGTTTATACGTGACGATCTAAGGCCAGGTCGTCCAGAACCTAGTAATCGTGCTGAATTATTGGAAAAAGTCCGTGAAATCATTGGTATTGATGCAAATTTGAATTTTAACTGAAGATTTGGGTAAAAGAAAGGTCTGTGCGCGTTTTGTTCCACATGAATTAAATGAAGACCAAAAATCGCTCGTGTGGAGCATTGCAAAGACATTGTTAAAACTGCTAAAAACGATCCAGACTTTCTTGATTCGATCTTGCTTTAAATATGACCCTGAAACTAAGCGTCAATCTGCTACATGGAAGTCCAAAGGCGAGCTAAAACCAAAAAAAATGCGTTTTCAGAAGTCTCGAATCAAGACAATGTTGATTATTGTTTATGATTCGAAGGGTATTGTCCACAAGGAATTTGTTCCAGAAGGTCGAACTGTTAATTGAGAATACTATTTAAGCGTTTTACATCGTTTGTGGAAAAGAATTGGTCGTGTTAGACCTGAATATCCATCGGGAAAACAGCTGTTTTTATTGCACGATAATGCACCACACAAGACCAAAAAAGTTAACGAATTTTTGATGAAAAAACGGATTTCTCTCATCAACCACCCTCCGTATTCGCGTGATCTATCACCATGTGACTATTTTCTGTTTCCAAAACTGAAAACCAAGATGAAAGAAGCATTTTATGACGATATCCCAGCTATTCAACCGAGGTGCTGAAGAACATTCGCATAAATGACATAAAAAAATCTATGCATGCGCTGGTTGATCGTTTCAAACGTTCTATTGAGTCTAATGGAACCTATTTTGAATAAATAATAACTTTCAAAAATATATAATGTGTATTTTATTCTATATTCAAAAAGTTCGATTATTTTTGGGACACACTGTAATAGCGATGTACAAAACACAAAAACACGTCTCAATATAAGTCATTTTCAATTAAGTTTTGAAGAAATACAGTCAACCGGAATACCTTGGAAGATCATGTGATCATTGATTTAGGTATAAATTTCACTTCATATATGAAATATTGTTCTTGCTTTTATTAATAATTGAATACCAGATTGCACCATGTACAGAAAGAAGCACACTTACCGTGGTGGTGATATAGCTTATAGAAAAGAAGTTGGGAGTGCAAAAACCGACTAACACCGTTGTGTATTGATAAATATGTACAATTGAAAAGGAGAGACATTTGTTGTCTTTATGGATTATATGTCCTTTACATAGAAATTTTATAAAAATAAAAGATTTGAAACAAAAAATTTTCTTAAAGACCCCTAACGGTTTGTTGCTTGTATTTTAATGCAAGCGTTGAATTAGAAACTGATGCGTTGCATTTTCAGTTCACAATATCAGAAGGAGTATAATGTTGTGAAAAAGGGCGACATCATTTTTCCCTAATGCCAGCAAAAAAGGAGGTTGCATGAATGTGAAACAACGATGCAGTCTCATAAATTAAAACTGGCTTGTTGAACTGATGCATGAGCTATTCGCACTAAAATATTGATTTTTTTATACAAAGTGCCTAGCGTGAACCACCATTCGAGGGAGCCGCAGTTGCTTGCTTCGATGGTCGCCCTTTTTCTTCAGTTTTCGTTGGCCTCCCTTAATTATTTCGTGGGCACAAAGCTGCTTCTTCAACTATATTACTTATTCCTTTACTTGAGCGGAAGTTTTGCTGAAAAACCGCTGAAATTTATTAAGCAAAAGAATGCGTCGTAGTTGAAACGACCGAAATGAAACCGCAACGGCTCCCCGTGGATTCTCCTCCGCCCCTTTTCACACGTAGGCAGAACCACCACCGAGAGCTGCGGGAATAAGGGCGAGTGTTGCGCGGCGGAGCGGCATAAGAGATGCTTTTTTAATATTTCTGACGCTTTTAAAACGTGGCACTCGAAGCAGTAATGACAGAAAAGGAGTAAAAAAAAATCGCCCCACTGCTTGCTGCTGCTACTGGAACTTGTTCCAAAAGAAACAAGATTCGGACGCGACACTCGAAAATCCCCAAATTTCAGAAACATCTTTCATTATTAAAAGGCAGCTTTTTTTGGCTGGATTTATTCCTTTTTACATGTATACAACTTTTTGTCAAAAGCACCAGAGTATATACAAGTTTTAAAAATGCAATCCTGTCGAAATCTTGTCTCTATTTCGCAACCCTTTCAAATTCAAAAAGGATATTCATATATATACCACAAAAAAAAGATAAATTTTAACTTAAGATTGACGATGTTTTAGTCTTCGTTAAATATTTTTTTTTAACTTATTTCTTTTGAGTATCAATAAAAATTAGAAGAAAATAATTATAGACTAGTGGAATGTTAATACAATACTGATTGGATAAATACAGATTTCAATGAGATAATGAAAAGTATTCTCATGTTCGGAGTTAAAATTGAGAGATGGAATGAAAGGAAGGTAACAGAAATCTTTCAGGAAAAGTCTATTCCGTGGGCGCCAAACATCCGAAGAATCTCATCAGGATATATTTCACGGGAGGAAACTAATAAGAAAAATGTGGAAATAGGATTTGGAATCTACAGATTTCAAGTTTCATGGGAAAACAAAAAAAGGAAACGCAAAGAACATGATATTAAAAGGGCTTAGAAAGGAAATAGATGGGACAGGAAAACTGTATAGAAAAAGAGAAAACGCAACGTAAAAAATTATCCAGATAATGATTGTACAAGTACAGTTTAAAAAAGAACAAAACAAGGACAGTGTAAAAGCTTTTTTCTATTTCTTGAACGAGAACAGCCTTTTATAGATTTATTGTAACTTCCAAATATGCACAGTACTGAATTTAGTAATGGGCGAATGTAACTTGCAAAATCGGTGAAGTGCCGCTTACGAATTTCGGTTGATACTGCATTATTCTATTCATACATGGAAAACGAGGGAATGGATTCCTTACATAATTCTGACATTCGTGACGTAGAGTTATTTGGAACCATCCCGCGATTTAATGGTCGTTCTAGGTGTGTACCGTTTAAGCGACAATCAACTTGTCTTGCTTTTGATGAAGACAGTAATTTCTCAGTTTGCCCTTTAATCTGCCGAAGCCGAAGCATATAAA